CGCCCCGCCACTGTCACCGCCGGGTGTGGGTGTGTGAGTGTGAGCCGGGCCGGGCAGCAGGGGCTTTAGCGTTCCTCACTGTATTTGGATAATTGAGGGAGCGGTCCGGGAGGGTGGTGGTAAATCCGGGGCCCCCGGATAAGGGATCGGGCTTTTGCGGTGCGGCATGGGCACGAGCAGCGCACCTGCTCGGAGTTTCCACCGGGGAGGAGCTCTGCTTCGGGCCCTTCACCCACCGCCGCGCTCCGTGTGAGCAGCATGTGTGTGCGAAAGACAAGAGAGAGAGAGAGAGAGAGAGAGAGAGAGAGAGAGAGAGAGAACGAGAACGCCCCCTCACTACCGCATGACTATCCGCTCTTGCGGTTGCACGCTGAAGGCCAAACCGATAGTTTTGGTGTGTTGCAATCCAATCTGGAGAGGTCGGCGAACCTGCTGCGCCCCGCCCCGCCTGCCCGCCACCGCAGTAGGCGCTCGATCGCACGTCAGCGTTCTGTGACACGACGGCGATCTTGTTGACGAAACGGTCTGGCGCTCGCATTGCGCGGGTCGGAAGGAAACGCGCGACATGCATTCTCTCCTGTCCTACAAATCGAAAAATAAATAAAAGCGACGGTTCCCGTTGACACGTCGCGTCGCCGCCACCGAGGTGCGCATTTGGAGCGCGCGCGCGGCTGTGACGCCTTTCTTTTATTTCTTTGTGTTTTTCCGGCTTACCCTGAGTCATCGATGAGGTGATTGACACCTCGTGACACCACACACACTGAAGCCCCTGGCGGGTCAACGGCCTGGCCCGGTGGCGGGGCGGGGCCCGGCCGGACCCTCTGAGGAGGAGGGGAGGGCACCCTCTCGTTGCGCGCGGGGGCTCGCGGCGGCGTCCCATCCCCTTCTAGGGGGAGGAGCGGGAGCAGGGGGAGCAAGGACTCGCCAACGCCGACACGAATGGCGACATGAAAAGAGTTTGTGGCGCATTGGCCGGCAAGCGGCCGCCCCCGCTCTAATGGAGACGCACGACCTGGCCGGGACCGACTCTGCTATTCCAGTGTAGCACAAATCTTGGCCGAGGGCCCCCGGGGCCCAGGGGACGCCAGTCACGGCCGGGGAGGGGGTGGCGCCGGGCGGCGCACTCGGGCGGCCACCGCTGCGCCGCGTAGCAGCCGCTCCCGCAGGACCTCTTGGAGAGACAGGTTTCCTTCGAGGAGGGGTGGCGGGAGTGGCGGGGCGGGGCGAGAGGCCTCCGGCACTCCCCTTTGCAGCCGCCCTCCTCCACCCCCTGGCAGATTGCCCCCCTTCCTCCTCCCCGCCCCCTCTGTGCGCGTAGCACTCTGAAAGGGGTGGCCTCTGGATGCTACCCTGAGCATTACCTAACGTGTGTGTCGGATTCCAACTGCGCGGGAGGATCGATGGTTGACGCCATGCTGCAGCGTTGCGTTCGGTGGGTCGCTGTCGTCGAGCGGAGGACGTCGTCGTCGCCGGCCCCCACTCAATGGGTGCCCCTGCCCCCGACTCCCCGCCCTGCCCTCCCACCTCTCGGGCGCTGGCCCCGCCGGGCCGGCAAACCCGTTCGGGTTCCCTCGGTCGGTCGTTCCAGGCGCTAAAGCATTTAGTGAGAGTATTTTTCGAGTCTTCTTTTTTGGTTAAGGGATAATTTTGTTTTTGTTTGTTGGCGTCGTGGACCCTGTCCGGCCCGACTGGCCGGGGCCGGTCCTGGGCCTGGCCTGGCAGCCGGGAGGAGGTGTGGACGGGCTGCTGGCCGTCATTACTCGTACTCGTCCGGACTATTACGCTCTGGGGAGGAGGGGGAGGTTTACCGGCGCGACCATTCGGGGCGGGG